AGTTTCACAACCAACTAATCATTGCTACACAACCTAGCTAAACCATATTTAAACCCCACATATGACATGTTTCTACTTTATATTGACATTTATCCCATGTTAATTTCCTAGTTTCTGCAGAAAAAATCCAGACAAGTAATTATGGGAGAAATTGAGGTTCAAGAAAGTCCCGGGGAATAAGTTACAAGGAAATGGAGGAAAACATTGGTACGCCAGATGTTCATAGTGTGGGAGTGAAAATTCAGAGGGCTAAAGAGATTTACAAAGCATATGCTGGGATTGAAGAGAAGAACACAAAAAGTGAAGTTTTAGGATGGTCTTTTTATGGACTGTGTTATTGATTTGATTCCTATTGAGTTCCCTCTGATCATTAGCCAGATGTTGGCCAACCCGTCGAGCCACCGCAAGGGTGGTTGAAGAGTTACACGGGCTTGGAGTGCAAGCAGAATCAAATATTACTGTTGCCTCTGTTTGCCAAAAAACAACCTCACTTGTATGGTTGTCGCTTCACAGGATGTTGACTTCTTCTTTCGCAACTTCANATGTACCGATTGTGAACGACATATTTTGATCACGTCACAAATTGTATCTCATTATACCCGAACCATCGAGTATACAATTTGTGACATCTTATATGATCATGGAACCTTAGATGATTGTTTCAAATTGTAGCACGCGAATAATCGAATGTTAATTCATAATATTATTTTACAAAATACTACTCGAAAAGGGCATCAAACTAACAGTCTCATGATCTGGGGATACATTGCTTCGACCGAAAAGCCAATTCCCATATAGAACAACCTTTGCTAGTTGACTGTCACTTTATTCCACTGCCTCCGACTGACTAGACTCCGCCATTTTATCCTCGTTTACATACCATACGTTCCGAAAATCCGACCATTTCACTGCCTTATGGGCGGTTTCCATTTTTAGTAGCTTGATATGGGGATTGGGCATGGATAATATCTTCAGTACAAATAGATCAACATTAAGTTCAATCGCTCCATCATCCTCAAATTCCATATCAACAACTCATGTCATATCAATATTCAAGCACCCTTATGCTGTCGGAAGTCTCGCTGGAGTTTTTCTTTCGTCTGTCACAACAATGTGCATTTTTGCTGTCGGTGTACCTTATGCAATAGGCTAACTTTGTTATCTTAAAATAAATAAATATATAAATAAAATAAAAATGGATGAGCTCGCGAACCGAGCTGGCCCACGAGTAACGAGACACGAGCTCGTGCGCATCGGTTCGGCTCGACACATTGCCACCTCTATGAAAGTGTCACATGTGTTAACATTATTTAAAAGAATAATGTTACTTTGTCAGAAAGCAGGTGATAGATAGAATGACTAATAGGTGTTACGAGAGGTGATTGGATGAAAGTACTGACTGTGTTTTAAACAGTCAAATAATAAGTTTTCATGTGCTATTATGTCGAGGATTATGACTATTGGCACGATCTGATAGAATCAATTTAGAAGTAAATAAAGGAATTCCCATGATTCGAGCCACAGTGCTTGTATAGCTAAGAATAGTTTTTTCTTATTCTATTTATTTGTAACCTATCAATGTAAAGAATAAGGAAATAGAAAAACTTACATGGTATCAGAGCAGAACTATTTCTGGGTTTCTGCCATTACCACCGTCCCTAGCCAAAGCTTCATCTATGTCGACCATAGAGGACATCAAAATTGAGGAAAAATCTGGTGACTCTCATGATGATCCTGATACACTTCTCACAGATATACCTATTTCGAGCAACGTAGCCTCATGCATGAGATGTCTTGCCCCCAGACACCTCATCAAAATGGCGTCCCTAAATGAAAGAACCGCCATATTCTCAAAACTTCCCGGACCTTGCTATATAGCACTTACTTACCTCATCGATAATGGCCTGATGCGGTATCCACCGCCGTACACTTACTTAATTGAATGTCTTCCAAAGTCTTAAACTTTAAGACTCCCATCCAAGTCTTAGCATCCTATGTTCCTCTACCTATAATCCTAATACTCCCTCCCCAAGTATTTGCTGTGTGGTCTAAGTACATCTTCACAAGAACCAATAGACAAAACTTGACCCTTGTGCTCTCAAACGTTTGTTTTTGGGATATGGTGTGCACCAAAAAGGCTATCGTTGTTACGACCCCTTGAAGAAACGTCTCTATGTTACCATGTATGTTACTTTTTTGGAATCTGATCCCTATTTTTTTTCGGCACCATTTCTTCTCTTTAGGGGGAGAAACGGGATAATAAGCAAAATTGGCTACAACTTGAGTGGCTAAACTCTGATATAGGGCCGAGTGAAGCAGTTGAACTGAACTTCTTAAGGCCAAAGCCGACAATTGATATGAATGCTTCTTCAAAGAATGACACTACACCTTTAGAGAATGAAATTACACCTTCAGGAGCTGAACTAGTCCCCCTCTCCTTTAGTACCTACAGACCCATTTCTTGATAATATCTCTAAGGTAAGCACTCTTCATACATCTCTAAATGATTTGGATACTCATGCTAGTTATACATTACCTTTAAGGCATAACCGTGGTAAGCCACCGAGCAGATATCCTTTGAATATGGAGAAACAGAGGTCAGAATATCCAATTTCCAACTACATGTTCACCATAAAACTATCTGAACCTCTTAAACATGTGCTCTCTTCAAATCATGTTTCGACTGGAGTTTAAGAAGCTTTATCTGAACTGAAATGGCCTCATGCAATGAAAGAGGACTTTGGTTCCATCACCCGAAGGAACGAAAGTAGTATGGTGCAAATGGGTGTTTTCCATCAAACACAAGGCAGATGGTTCCATTAAATGGTATAAAGCAAGATTGGTGACACAAGGCTATACACAAACATATGGAGTTGATTATCTAGAAACTTTCTCACAAGTGCTAAACTAAATACTGTCAGAGTACTGTTATCTCTCACAGCTAACCTCGACTGGTTTCTATATCAATTTGATGTGAAAAATGCATTTTTTTATGGTGATCTCGAAGAAGAAGTATACATAGACATTCCTCCAAGCTACACATCATCATCAAAGACCGGAGTAGTATGCAAACGACAGCGAGCATTGTGTGGGTTGAAACAATCACCTCGAGCATGGTTTAGGCAATTTAGAGTATGTGTTCCGACAAAGTAATTCAGATCATACACTATTCTTAAAGCATAAAGTTGGCAAGATAACTGCTTTAACAGTCTATGCAGATGACATGATTATCACAAGGGACGACAAGGAAGAGATATCCCAAATTTAGAGACAACTAGCAACTGAATTTGAGATGAAAAATTTAGGAGGATTCAAATATTTTATAGGGATAGAAGTAGCTAGATCAAAGTTAGGTATATTTCTAATGCAAAGAAAATATGTTTTAGGTTTACTGACTGAAGTGGGAATGTTGGAATGTAAACTGGTAGATACTCCAACTATCCTTAGGGATGACAATGGAGCTCATCGGCTCTGGCGGCCCAAGAAAAGCTAGAGTCGGGTCGGCTCGTGGCCCGTTGGGATTGAGCCCCATTTTAGGGCGTCGGCTCAAGTTCGAGCTAGCCCGTGATAGCTTAGCCTAATTTTTTTTGAAAAAAAAGTAATTAAAAAAATAAAAATAAAAACACTGTGACTGCTGAAATTTTTGTTTCTTTTACTGTTTTTTGAAAAAAAAATTGGTTGAAACGGATATATTTTTTTTTGCTATCAATTTTGAGTTTCATATCAATTTTAGATTTGTCACAAATTCTTAAAAAAAAAAAAGAGCCGGACGAGCGCTAAGGCCCGAGCCGGAAGCTCGGCTCGAGTCTAAATTTTTTGACCAAGCTTTTGCTTGGCTTGGCTCGGGCCAAAAAAAGTCCGAACTATTTTTACTCGAGTCGAGCCCGAGCTTCAAGTTTCGGCTCGAAGCTCAACTCAACTCGGCCTGTTGACTTCCCTAACTATCCAGAACCATAAACTTGGATAGTATCAGGATCAGGTACCAACAGATAAAGGAAGGTACCAAAGGTTGGTGAGAAAACTTATTTATCTCTCACACACTTGCCCAAATATTATATATGCAGTGAGCATTGTAAGTCAATTCATGCATAAGCCTAGCAAAGAGCGTATGGATGTAGTGATTCGAATACTTAGGTACTTAAAGTCCTCCCCTGGAAAATGACTTATGTTCTCAAAAAATAATCATCTCAGAGTGCATAGCTACACAGATGCAGATTGGGCACGAAATATTTTAGGCACAAAATGTACTTCCGGCTACTTCATGTTTGTTGGAGGGAATCTTGTTATATGGAGAAGTAAGAAGAAGAAAGTAGTGGCACTATCAAGTGCAGTAGCCGAGTTTCAAGGGATGGCGAAGGGACTTTGTGAACTTCTCTAGATCAGGAGACTACTTACCTAGATGGACTTTGTGAAGCATGATCGCACCAAACATTTGGAGGTGGATTGACATTTATCAAAGAGAATTTGGAGGGAAAAATAATTCGGTTCCCATTTGTGAAATCTGAAGCCTAGCTGGCATACATACTCACAAAAGCAGTCTCTAGCAAAGAATATTTCAGCTCAAGGACAAGTTGTGCATCAGAGATCCATATGTATCAACTTGAGGGGGAGTGTTGTTATGAGCTGTTAGAATCAATTTAAGAATAAATATGGAATTTCTTCTATCAAAGGAATTCCCACGATTCCAGCCACAATGCTTGTATAGCCAAGAATAGGTTGTATAATCAAGAATAGTTTTTCCTTATTCTATTTATTTGTAACCTATCAACGTTAAGAAAATAATATAAGGAAATAGAAAAACTTACAATGTCAACCATTATATCTATATAGCATGATTGCATTTTAAAATTAGAAGCTACTAATCAATTAAATATTGTCTTCGATAGGTTTACTTCATCCATTTGGAAGGGTTCTTTGGTTGGAATGTTCGCTGGTGGGCAAATGAGGTTCTTTTTCAGTGTGGTTTTCGTGGGTGAGAGCGCTCGAGACATGCATCAGATTTACATTGGCGACGATGGTGGCATGGTGCTTGGAAATATTGGCAAAGCATTTGGAACTGTATTTTGAGCTGGAATTGTTGGGATGGTAATTCTTATATTTAGGAACATCAGAGCTTCGGAGGAGCCAAAGCCGCCGGCCATGTTATAAAAAGTGAAGAAGGCTTCACCGGTGCATGGATTGGATGATGGTGGCGGCGACGCCGTTGATGTAAGGACTGCACCAGAGACGGCGGATGTTTGAGATGACTTTTCTTGATTATTACATGTAAAAAGTTCGAATTTATCTTATTATTCTTTTGTTATAAGTGGCATTATAACATTATTTGACTTGGAATGAATTTATGAACTATTCATAAATTATTTGCCAATTGGAGGGTTTAAAGGTACTTCGTTATGTAAAATAAAAACTTTGTGCTTAATTTATATGACTTATCATTCATGAAAATATTAGTTTTTGCATCCATTGAGGGGAGATTTTTTAATTGAAATCAATGAATAAATAGTTACTACAAATCGTACATTCCCCTATTTGACATCCTTCAAATTTAAAAAACTTTGTTTGAAAAGGAATTTTTAGAGAATGTCAGGTTAAAAAGTGAGAAAAAAATTGGGTTGTAGTGTAGAATATTTTATTACGTAAATGTGTTGTTGAAAATTAGTATTAAAAATAAATTAAAGTAAAGTAAAGTAAAGAAGGTCAAACATACTAAAAAAATAATTCAATAGGCAAAGTCACATGTTGTAATCTCAATTACATATTGCATACATCTAAAGTTCAAGATCAAATATCTTTGATTTCATTTTCATATGTGTGTACCCAATTTTCCTTCATGCTTAATTTTCCAAAAAAAAATGGTTTTCCTAATCGACTATATGAATCAATTCCCCATCTTTTATACTCAATTTTCATAAAAATACGAAACTATAATCTAAACTCTATTTTCAATTTGTAAATATTTAACAAAATTATCCTATTTTTCTTGGTTCTGCTTTAATAAGTCAATGTACCTAAAAATAGGAAAAAAGCGAATATGCGGTAGAAGACATTTATTCATGGATGCGTCATTGAATTTGTCACCTGGGTTTTTCAGAATCTATCTGTTTTCTCCTCCATTTTGAGGTTTCTTGACATTTACATTTCTAGAATATCGAAGAATTCTATTGAATTTTCATCTAGAATTGACACATTCAAGAACCCAAAAATGAAAGGTATGTAATAAGCATATTCTTTTCCCTCTTCTACTTCTTTTTGTGTTTATGATTAACAAATAAAATTATTATCTCGTTCGTTATTGAATTGTGCAATGTTGTAATATTGTATCATATCATATACAAGAAGACACGGATAATACAAAGAGAGTCTTTCATGACCGATGATTAATTTTGACAAAAAAAAATCCATGAACAATCAACAATAAAATCTACACTCGATCTCTTATCCTACTTGACGTATTGAAGGAGAATGGAGAAACGAACAAGAGAGATGCGTAACTACCACGAGTGTCATCACCACAGCATCAGGTGCTTCTCCTTTGATGACGAATTCAACGTTGTTCACCTAAAGCCGTGGGATCAGTTCAAGTTCAAGGTGCACGTTCGAAAAGTCAATCCCTCCGCAACAATGTTCAATTGCTCGACAAACATGGGAACCTTTGTCGCCTTCAAATACAACTATCAATGCAGTGAAGAAACATACGAGTCGTGTGACTGGAGATTCGACGAAGAGAATGTCTATTGATGGGATCCAAAGACGAAAGCTGGGTATTCGTACAATTATGATCCTAACTATGAATCTCTTACAAGAGGTGGCGTCATCAAAGGGTACTTTGCTAACTAGATTAGCATAAAATGAGGTCATTTGATGAGATTAATGTTTTATGGTTTCTTTTGTGTCTTTTATACTTCAATGTAAGCAAATCCTAAAAGAGACACAGGAACTTGCATATAATGCCGAATGAAATTGTCTCTGTATAAGCACAACCAAACTCATTTACTGCATTTTTTTTTAACATTCTACTCTCTTGGACTCATAGGTTCAATTAAGCTCTTGTTTGACACCCATTTTGGAGAAGAATTTGATTTGAAATAGTGATTGATGAAAGAATGTGTGGTTAAAATAAAGAGAATTTTTGGGTTTATGTATAATATTATTTTATTGATAGAATGTGTGATTGAAATGAAAAAAGAGAAAAAAAATGATAAAGAGAATGAGAAAAAAATGAATGTCAAACAATGGCTAAATTAATTATGTGTCATTGCATTTAATTGAATTTATCATTTAATATCATACAGATTGCCGTCTAGACTAGTGCTGGATATCATTACTCGTTTTTAATTTGATGTCATGTCAAATATTTCACATAACCTGTAGGAATAAAACGGGATTTAACTGGACGATCTATTGAAAGGAAAAAATTCAGTGGTAGCTTGATGACAAAATTAATTAAGGGTCGTGAAGTTTTATGGTCAACATCTTATAACTGTTTTCTTGCACAATATTATCCATCGACATTTGTACTTGTAAATGTTTCATTAAAGAATAAATGGAAATTATATTCAATAGAGAGTATTTTGGTATTCCCATATTGTGTTGAATCCTGCAATGTTTAGCCAAAAGAGGAGAGTCAGCGATTTAAAAAAAAATAGTGTATCTATTTCGTTTACAACGATATCTATCTATTATTATACTTAGGGGTGGGCACGGGCCGATTTTGTTAAAATACCAGACTGAAAACTGAACTTACAGGTTCTATAAAAAGCAACGTCAATGATTTTGAGGTAATCAAAATTCAAGTGAGATGACAAGAGCCAAGGGTTAAGCACAAATTCTTCGACTTCACATTCTGACTTTTGGAAACCAGTGAAAATTCACACATCAGAAAATAAGCAAAAACAATCCGCTTATAGTTCTTCTTTCGAAATATTGCCTATGATCCACCTTCCTGAATATGCCATAGGTGTAGTCAAGAAACTTCATGGCCCTCTGGAACCAAATATAGTAAATGAGGTGCAACTGCCTCTTTAAGTTTGTACTCGACCAACCGCTATTAGTATCTTACTGAATATATGCTTCACCGGAACACAAGTTCTCCTTAGCGGCACTGTGCCTTGCTTGAATTGGCCTGGTTTCTTTAGAAACTTCGGGTCACCGGCAAGAACATTTTCCCTAAGGGCGTCTCGTAAAGCCTGATTGTCCACGGCAGTAGAAGAAGCACAGGAATTTGTGACATAGATTACAGGACTCCTTTTGGAAGTTTTCCAAACAAGTCGGTGAAATCTAGGACAAGTTCGAGAACTGTCAGCTATCTCTTCTATTTCGACTGGATGCCCCAGGATTGCCTTCCTGTTTAGTTTACTCACTAAACAGACAAATGGGACGTGCTCTGCTTGATAACTTGCTTGAACAGTCAAATGCACATCTATCAACTCTGTTTCCATTCCATTGCGGTTATGTATCTCACCGGCTCCAAACCCCAAAGAATCCACTGTTTTCATTTTGAATTCGTCTACACTCTGGTCTTCAAAATCATCACTCAAATTTAGTGAAACATTTCCAAGAGGCAGAACAGCTGTTCTTCTACTCAAATCACGAGTTTTAAGCTCCATTTTCAGCTTCAGCTTTTTCCCTCTAACAGTACCTTCAATCGGGTAGTTGGGAGGGGACACTGTTGAGCAATGAGGTTCATTATGTTCCTCGAAGTTTCTTTTTCTTAGTTTTCCCAAATCTCTAGAACAGCACACTGTCAATTTAGATACAAACGTGAGAGAATAGCATTGAAGAAAAATTTAGGAGAAAAACAGGATTGAAAATGACAAACTAAGTTTCATTCTATATCCTTCTCCATTCAATTCAATTTATTCATAAATTTGCTAGAAGATCACGTGCAACTAGATAACGGCCACGTTAGATAGCTGCAGAATCTGATTTTGTTGATGTAGAAGAAATCTTTTCTTCAAATATATCATACTGAATCTTTATTGATTGAGGACGAAGAACTGAGTGCTTCGAACCACTATTTGCACCTTCAGGCAAGTGCAGACAACGGCTTCTCTTTTCTTTGCAACCAGTTCCTCCCAGATCCTCACCTAATGTAAATGCAGTAAAACCATCGTTTTCCAATAAATAAATAGAGAAATATACTCATGGAATTCAAGACTGAGAAACTGCCTTGTAATGAACTTTGTGTTAGCTTGAAAATGCAAATGAGAAGACTTCTTTCTTGAACAACAACTGAAACCAGAAAAAACCACTAATCTCGCTTTTCAAATTCGACTAGCTATAATTGTGGCACTGGTTCAAATTGAATGCTTATCTATCTCTTAGCAGCTTAGCTTATGGACGTAGACATTTATAAATACTAATTAAAGGTTGAACAGCTGAATTACCTGATCTTTTATGACTGATTTCTTGTTCTTGTTTCTCGAGCCCAATAGCACAAAGACTTGCATTTTCTCCTTGTCCATATTTCAAGTGCTTCATGAGACGAAAATCCTGGCATGGCCGGGTTTTTCTACTACTTTCTCCAAAATCCCTGGAAGTTGATGAAATAGACAAGTAATGAAGTCATAACAATAACATTAAGGGATAGGAATACTATAATCTGCGTGCTCATAGTAATTTCTAAGACAATGAACAAGTAACTGGATGGAAATACATCCATCTAATTGATGAAATGGTAGACTTGCATTTGTTACCATATTTTGTACTACAAACTATTGCTTCTAGGATAAAACTTGTTCTAAAGAACTAAGCTGCTACACAAGTGAGAACGAGCACAAACCTATTCAGTTCGATAACTTTTTAACAACAGAGATTTTTCTTGCATAGTCAATGGTGTGAAAAAAAAAATACCCATATAAATAGTGCATTTCTATGTTTTTTTCACCAGACAAGCAGCCTATACACAGACATATGACTGAAAACAGAGAAAAATGAACAACAATGCTTTATTTTTGTTGCTATGAGGGAAAAAAGGGTACGTTGTGCTTTAACTAATCTTGCAGTAGCGTTTTAATAGAACCAATGTTTAACAACCAAGAAAAGCTTAGAATAAGAACTAAACACACATTACTTTGGCTTAAAACATTCACTTATAAGTGTTAAAATGAGTATCGCTTTCTACAAGAAATGAATAATTTATCCAATCAAAAAGATACTTAAAACTAAACTTAAGCAACTTTGAAGCTTACCCAAGAAGGAAAAATCAACACAGATACACACTCATATACATACATAATATACACACAAACACACCTTGACTCATTGTTCTTCTGCATACATACTTTGCTTCCTCCACCATTTTCCCCCATTTCTCTCAGAGATAACCCCCACGGTCACACACAGAAGGGTTCTTTTATTTCGAGAAAGAGTTGCATAAAGAAAGAGAGTGTACAGTGTTACTGTTGTCCAATGGCGGTTTGCTACCTGATTTTTGAATGTACGAACCATTTGGCTATTTTGTAGTTTTCTGCTTTCTTTTTCCTGACAAGTCCGGAAGTTATTTGAATTACCATTTACCACCCCTGAACTGATTAACATATTCCATTTTTACCCTCCAAAAGGTTTTAATTCGTGGGTTTATAAATTATTTAACAAATTAAAAATTATGCATTTCTAAATTTTAATTTTCATAGTTAGTTAGTCCAAAAAAGCGTTTTCTAATTTAGCACCTGTCTGGTACAACTTCCTTTTGACTTAACAGCAAAAATATATCCGTTGCCCCAAGGTCAACGAGTCCCACACATGAAAGAGTGGGTCAAAAATACCAGGTTACAACGGTCCAAAAATGAATTTCTACCTTCCAAAAATGACGCCCAGACAAGGCCTAATAGTGCTATAACACTATCCTATAATCACTGTTTGGCTTATTTATTAATTTACTTTTTAAGGTTATCTATCAATTAGTCACTGTTTGGCCCTCATTAAATTTATAATATATTTTTTCTTCTTTTTTTTAAATACACATTTTTTTAATAAAATAATATTTCACGTAAATAAAAAGAATTCCTTATTTTTCAATCACACATTCTTAAAAAAAAATTATTCCAAAAATTATAACATCACATAATGAAAGCCAAACGGGGACTTAATATACTTGCATGCCACTTAAACGAGTGTTTAACATCATTGATACTAAATAATATTATTCAAAAAAAAAACTTATCTATTTCTTTCCATCCCCCGTCTACCTATGTAGAACTAAAACTATGGGTTGTGCTATGTGTACACAATGGTGTACACAATGCATTACACTCCCCTCCCATAGACGAGACCTAGAAGTGTAATGCACTCTGTACACCACAAGGTATACACATAGCATTATTCCTAAAACTATATTATAGGGTGGCTTACTATTTATACCCACGCCGGATACTGATTATATAGAATAATTTTATTAAGCTACAATAAAAATCTTTAAAATTCATTTTTAGTCATAAATTTTCTCAATAAAACAATTGTGTGTGAAACCATAAATTTTCTTCTTCTATTTTTTAATCATGTATTTTGAAAAAATCATTTTTTTTTTATAAAATCTACATCAAACATACCTTAAGCATCCAAAAAAAATTTTCTTCTATTTTTTAATCACGTATTTTTTTTAAAAAAACACATTTTAAAAAATTTACATCAAACAGACCCTAAGTAAAAATAGGAGAAATTTTATAAAATAAAATGAAAAAAAAATATTGATGAAAAATGTGTGGTTAAAAAATTTAAAAAAATAGGTTTGCGTATAATATTATTTTATTGAAAAATGTGTGATTGAAAAGAGATCAAAACACAATTCAAAAATATACTTTTTTTTTTTCAAAAAATTGGGCTCAAACAAGGGTTTAATTATAATTTAAGTTGATCAAATACTTTTTATCCACATATAATGGATCACATTTACTATTTACTTTTTATCCACACTTACCATGGGATCTACTGTTTAATTTATAATTTAACCACTCCAAAAAAGGCATATGCACGTGTTTGGTAAAATTTTAATTATAATTTAAGCTAGTTAAGTATACCTTTAAATATTTATTTACACCTTGCAGAATCTACCTCCGCCTCCAATAACCCCTTCTCTTCCTCTTTTCCCGACCATCCCCCAGTTTCCACACAAGGACGCATACACTTTTTGTACCATCATTCTTGTTCGGTATTTACCACCTCTACCATTACTCCTCCTTTGGCCCTGTGACTTCGAGTATGAATCGACCTATCCTGACTCGTCATATTCTTGAGGTTACAACAATCGTACACATGTTATCCTTCAATGGATGAGGTATTAATTGGTGTGTAGCTGGAGACTACTTTAAGAACGAGGGATAGAATTTCGAAACATTAAGTTTGGGGGTTGGGTGTTTATAAGTAGCGGTGGCAGGTGAATGATAAGGTTCGATGTTTATATGTAGTAGTAGAAGTGGTGGTGGTGGTGGTGGGGCGAGGATGACGGGTGAATGATGAAAGTGGAAGGCATATTGTGGATAGGGGTGGGCAAAACCCAATCCAACCCACGAAAACCAACCGACCCAACCCAACCCGACCGGGTTGGGTCGGTTTTTTGGTGTTTTTAAGCGGGTTTTGGGTTTTAATTTACGTTATCGGGTCGGGTTGGTTCGGGTTGTGGGTTAGGCAAGGCAA